ATACAACATTTCATTCTAAAACTTGTAATATTTGCATTTGCCCGTAACAATCTGTCTTGTCAACTGGTCTATTTTACAGCTTATTGCAGACGTTATGGTGCTAACCCTCTGGTTTTTGTCAAACCATTTCGAGCAGTTTAACAAAAATTGTGCTTTCTCTGAATTTACCCTTTATGCTACTAGATAATGTGAAAGTTTAACTCTGTATGACCCATGCAGATCTGTCCATTGATTATGAATTAGTGATGTTGAGGTCTCCATTCTTTTACCTATATCTGTCAGACTGACTCAGTATTCTGAGGTCCCAAACATACACCTTGGATAAGTTCCAGTAATTGTTTAGTATCACTTCAATGAAAATGTCTGGGGATGTAATTGTTTAGCTCATGCAGTAATATATGAATATGTGTTGTAATCTCCAAGCTTTATTTTAACAGGGGGTGTCATAAAGATATGTCTACCAAGAGCTTGTTGACTTTGAAAGGCAGGCTAAGCCCTCAGGTTATGACGAGAAAAGAATTACTGGAAATATTGGTATTCACCGTGATAATAGAAAGTGGTTTGGCAAGTACTGCCTATCTCCTCCTACTCTTCTGCCTGAAGGTTTTCTTAAGTAGGCAAACCAAAACATTCATGCTGTCAAACGCCGTTCTTTCATGCTAAAATAAGCCTGTGGTCTTTGGTGATCCTACCTGATTTATTGCAGCTTGCAGACTTCATAAGGTATCAGTTTCTAAAAACCTCGACCTTGAAATGTAATAAGTCACCTCTACTTATTTCCGTCCACAAATTCCATATTTACATTATATTATTTTTTCTAAACCAACGTGTCTGTTATCCTGCTGTTTGCTTTTCTGTTCTGAAAAGGCTGATATCATTTCATGCAGTTACCTTGGGCAGAGTAACCAGGACATTAATATAAGTAGGACACTGTAGCTTTCTTTGGAACTTGTACCAACGAGCAAATATCCACCCCCAATGTACACATTCATTTACCATATGTCATGTTGATGTAAATTTATAAGATCTCTGTTTTGTTTTTCGTTTGCAGTGGTTTCCCCGCAGTTTACATTTCAACCTGTACTTTTTGCTGAAGAAGGAGAAGCTCAGGCGTTTGGTGGGAATCCGAGACCCCATGCGTCTTGGACAATGGGGGTCACTGTAGTCTGGTTACGCTGCTTGTATACACAGTGACTGTACTTGGAAAAGTGGATGGAAATTATTCTTCAAAGCTTGCAAATAACATCGACAGCATGAAACGGCCAAATTTTCACATTTATAGCACATGCTAAAGCCTGTCCTGGAAGGGACATAATCTTCAGCTCATGACATAGCATAATAAAATTTAACAGTTGGATTTAAAATAGTTTATTTTCTGTCCTGGGCACAATGAAGAACAGTACAGGAACCACTCTGGACCTCAGCTTTCTAACAGATGAAGAATATGAGAAGCTCATAGATGTCCTTCATAGAGATGCCGAGCTGCAGCGGAAAGAGAGTGATCGACTCAGGTAAACTATAACATATGGCTTTACAAGGAAACAGTCACAAGTGGAGTTTTGACTTTTTCTTTTTTTTCTGAATCTATTTTAAATATTTGACTGTAGAAGGGACGCACTTGCCGTAGCTTTGCAGTGTACCAGTCTGGGTACACACACAACACATGCATATACTTTTACAAAATTCTATCTATACTTTGTGGTAGAAGAATTACTAGCAAATGTATAGTTTTGGAGAAAAGCCTATTTAACCCCTTAAGGACACATGACATGTGTGACATGTCATGATTCCCTTTTATTCCAGAAGTTTGGTCCTTAAGGGGTTAAAGGGACACTGTAGGCCTTTTAACTGCTTCCTTTCAGTAGTTCTATTACCTGGAGTCCCCGGCACCATCCTTGTATTGTGTTAAATTGTTGTTGTTGTTTTTCTTGTTTGTTTCTTTTTAATATCAACATCTTATTGTGCCCACTGCTGGTATGAGTTGGTACAGCTAGAAGGAAGTGTGTAGTTTCTGTTTTAGACATACCCCAGTGGGGGCTGAGCTGTGGGTGGCCAGGGACTCCCATTCACTGTTAAACGGATCAAAATGGTTTACCAGTAGACTCACATGCCTAAGAATTGACTTAAAGGTATATCAGAAAATACTTTGTGCAGGCAGTTTTCCTGTTCTCCTTGCATAGCAACCACAGCACATATGCTGTGCATATATAGTTTCTTTGGTTATTACGTTGCTAACTATGCAATTCCCAGGACTGGAATGGGAAAAATATCTGGCCTGGGAATTTTTTTAATCACAGCGGCCCAGTGAAAAGGGGGTGGGACAGAGAGGAGGTGTTTTATCACCAATGACAAGCGTGCCCCCTCTCAAAGTGAGCATAAGAAAAAGGACCAGCATTTCAATTTCAAGCAAATTTAATGACATGCTTGTGCTGTGTTTTCTTGTGACTTGTCTCTATAAGTAGGATACCACAGGACAAAGGGACCTGGAAAGGTTATTGTTCTTGTGTTTGGAGCCTGCTTGTGGTACTGCGTGTGGGTAGAGTGAGCGAACTGTGGTGTTTTGTGTAAATAGATCAGTTTCAGTCATGTTGTGTTTGTGATGTAATATGTGTGGCTAGGGGCTGTAACAGGTGAGAGAGTGTGTGTGTGTGTGTATAGGGGGCATAGTGTAAAGAGGGGATGGAGTGTGTATGTGCATAGGGGCTGTACTGTATGTGTCTATAGGTGATGTAGTGGGTGTATTGGCTGTAGAGAGTGTGTGTTTAGGGAATGTAGTGTGTGATTGTGTACAGGGGATCTAGTCTGTGCATAGGGGATCCATAGTGTGTAGGTGGAGATGTGTGTTTGTGTGTTTGTGTGTGTGTGTCTGGAATGTAGTGTGTGTAAGAAGTAGAGTGTGTGTATAATCGATCTAGTGCCTATAGTGGTTCTAGTGTGTGTGAGGATTTGAGTGTGATGGGTGGAGTTTTTGTGAGTGATGTAGTGTGTGTGTGTGTGTGTGTGTGTGTGTGTGTGTGAGGGGTGCAGTGTGTGAGTTTGCTGGGAGGTATAAGTCTATGTTGTGTGTGTGTGTGTGGGGAATATGAATATATATATATATATATATATATATATATATATATTGTAGATGGAAATAGCCGTTTAGTCCAGTAGAGTATTGCAGTTTGCAATGATCCTTTTTTTTTATTGGACTAACATAATACTTAAAATACGAGCTTTGAGAGATTTCTGAGAAGGAGAAAGAGGGGGTGTAATAAATGGCAGAAGATGTACCTGAGAGTGAAAGGTGACACTGGCTAGGTGGCAATGAAGACTGTATGTCAGCATCTTGGAGAAGGTTTGTCCTACTTGGGGAAGTGTCCCCAAGCAGGGTAAATAAAATCAGACCACTAGTGGTGTGCAGGCAGACGAGAGATGTGTGTAACATCCTTGAAGCTGAGGACATGTAGGCGGTGGACCGGAGGTGAGGTGAGTTTATATCTAAACATTTTACACTAAATACATAATTTTATATATGTTTTGTAAATGGTGTATTAAATACTTTTGAGGGGATTCATGTTAAAGTGAGCCTGTGATTCAACATAGTACATACAGTACAGGACTTATTGACCAGTTTCACTGGAGGACATAAAGCACACACACGGCATCCATTTATGCTTAGCAGATGTACATAAAATTAAGGTGGTTAAATGTTATGTTTACTTTACACACAATGGTAAGGTTCTGGATTTTGTGAACTACTCTTGTCTTAACATGCAGCTACACTCGAGACATTGGCCAATCACAGCAATTATTGTGTCTTCGTGGAGAGGTAGAAAGTCCTTATATCCTTTTTTTTTTTTCTAGAATATATCACTTCTCCAGACCCTGTAACAGAAACAGACTAATGTACCGTTGCTGTTTAGGGATGTCCTAGCAGGGAGGCGAGAGGAATTTTATTTTAAACTTCACCAAGTTCTTGCCTTTTTGCCATTTCATTGGTAGTGGAGTACCCATACTACATCCGATTTTGGTGTGCACACCTTTATTCTATGCAAACGAAAGAAGTAACCTCGCCCCAGGTGCCACAACGTAGGGGGTTGCCTTGGGTTGCCTTGGGGAGGTGTGAGCTGTGTAGCTGCACAGGGCACCATGGCAGTAGGGGCGCTGGGCAGCCGACACAGCTCACACGCAGGGGCCTGGAGCAGGAGAACTTCCCAGAGAGCTGGGGTGGAGCCAAATTGGATGTGTGGGCGTAGCCAAATCGTCAGCGGGGGTGGGGCTAAAGACAGCCTACACCCGCTGCTGTTACTGCTGCAAACAGAGGGGAAGCAGGAAGGAGTCCCTGCTTCCCCAACAACTGCACACCAGGGACTTCAACAGTAAGTGAGAGTGTGTGCTGTGTATGTGTGTAGCTGTGACTGTGCCTGTCTGTGACTGACTGTGTGTGTGACTGTATGTGTGCTGTGTGTGTAACTGTGATTGTGTCTGTCTGTGACTGCATGTGCTGTGTGTGTGTGTGTGTGTGTGTGTGTATAACTGTGATTGTGTCTGCCTGTGACTGTGTGTGACTCTGTGTGTGTGTGTGTAACTGTGATTGTGTCTGCCTGTAACTGTGTGTGTTTGTGTGTTACTGTCTGCCTGTGATTGTATGTGACTGTATGTGTAACTGCCTGTGACAGTGTGTGTGACTGTCTGCCTGTGACTGTATGTGACAGCCTGTGACTGTGTGTGTGATTTGCATGTCACTGAGTGTGTGTGACTGTCTGCCTGTGACTGTGTGATGCTGCCTGTAACTGTGTTACAGTCTGCCTGTAATTGTGCGTGCTACTACTTATTAAATGTGTGTATGTATGTGATGATTGTGTGTGTACATCTAATTATGTGTATGTGATTGTGTGTCTGTGATTGTATGTGTGTGGGTCTGTGATTGTGTTTGTGTATGTCTGTGATTATGTGTGCATCTGTGTGTGTTCTGATTATGTGTGTTTATATATGTGATTGTGTGTCTAGATCTGTGATTGTGTGTGTGTGTCTGTGGTTATGTGTGTGTGTGTATATATATATTATTATATATATATATACACACACACAACCACAGATGTACACAAACACAGATATACATATATTGGTGTGTGTAAATAAATGTATATGTTTTTAGTAGATAGCTCCCTTATTTGGTGTCCTTAAATATTGCAATCTCACATAAGGATAACAAATAACTGAGTTATATACTAAACAATTGAAAGATTAAAATTAAGAAAAGAGCTTTTAAAATGTTTTTGATCTTTTAGTTGTTTAGTAGATAATTCCCTAAATTGGTGCCCTTATGTGAGGTTTCCCTATTTAAAAATACTAAGTTAGGGTGTTGATTAGCAGATAGCTTCTTTATTTGGTGTCCTTAAATATGGCAATCCCACATAAGGATGAGAGGTGTCAGCCCACAACAAGAAATCTGGCTGGCTAATGTGAATTCTATGCAAATTCTATGCAAACTTGTAGACAGCCAATGGCAGCATATTACCCCATCCGCTAGTGAAAGGTTTTAGTGCACCCCCCCCCAGTTTTGACTGTGGTATTTTATGTGCCCCCCCTCATATATTGTTACTAGGGTCGCCACTGTGTCTGCGTGTGTGTCTGTGTGTCTATGTATCTGCATGAGTGTATATGTATCTGCATGTGTGTCAGTGTGTATATGTGAATACATCTCAGATTCTCGCCAATACTACACACAAATACACCCCTGCATTTCAACATCAACACTACCTACAAACCCCACTATTATATATAACCACACAACTGCATTTAAATACCGCACTACACACAAATGCATATTTTCATACAAACACACCCCTACATTCACTCAAACATATTCCATACAAAAACATGCTAACATTCAAAGACACAAACTAAATACATTTTAAACAATTGCAGTTGTTTTTTTACATTTTAAAGTGTGGGGTGTGGGGGGGGGGGAGGATGAGGGTTGCAAAAATAGGACCTGCTCCGGGTGCCAAATGCTCTAGGTACGCAACGCACCTGCACATATGCTTTATTGCAGAGTTGATGGAACACAGAGTGAGCTGTGCCTACTATCAGCTCTGAGTGGTTTTCATCCAAAGCAGTTTTATAAATAAATACATTGCTGCAACTCTAAACTGGGCCCTCTGAGTTGTCGATCAGGCAGCTGAAATGCTTTGTCTTGGCGGCCTATTTTAGTTTTGGCTGCCTATTTCACTTTAGGGTATGGAATATGCACATCACATGCACAGCTTGAATAGATTTTTCTCCTCCCCAGAGAGACAGCCAAGCCACATCCATGCACATAAAGCAGTTTTCACAAAGGTGTGTCCTGCGCTGTGTGCAAACTGTTATCAGCTGTGATATATCAGTTTATAGAGCAGTTCTTCTCATCATATGTGATGGAGGGATAAACTGTGTATTCCATAAACCCCTAATGGACAAAGTTTTATGGGATCAAATCAGACCTACATAGACCAAAGAGGTTCTTGATTGGTGGAGCCACATCCTGGTGAGAGAATGATCTGCTGCTTGAAGAGTCTTTAAAGGACCACTGTAGTGCCAGGAAAACATACTCGTTTTCCTGGCACTATAGTACTCGTTTTCTCTCCCGCCGGGCTCTGGGGAGAGGAAGGGGTTAAAATCGTACCTTTCTCCAGCGCCGGGCGGGGAGCTCTCCTCCTCCTCTCCGCCTCTTCTCCTCCTCTTTGGCTGAATGCGCATGCGCAGCAGGAGCTGCGCACGCATTCAGCCAGTCTCAAAGGAAAGCATTCATAATGCTTTCCTATGGACGCTGGTGTCTTCTCACTATGATTTTCACAGTGAGAAGCACGCAAACGCCTCTAGCGGCTGTCAATGAGACAGCCACTAGAGGCTCTAGAGGCTGGATTAACCCTAATATAAACATAGCAGTTTCTCTGAAACTGCTATGTTTATAAAAAAAAAAATGGGTTAACCCTAGCTGGACCAGGCACCCAGACCACTTCATTAAGCTGAAGTGGTCTTAGTGCCTAGAGTAGTCCTTTAAAAGATAAAGATTTTTTCTTTTTGCATTCTTTTTGGTGCATTATCTGTCAAATGAATTACACATTTGGGGTCATTTTTATCATAGTGATTACCCTTTAAGCATTTATTTTCATACAGAATGGAAAAAAAGACAGTAGTTTTATATACTGGAGCAAAGTGGGAAATATTGGGTGTAAGATCAACTCAGATATCTTTGGAACAGTCCCTTCTCATGTAGACCTCAGATAGTCAAATCAGCTATTGGTCGTGAGTTTCTTGAAGTATATCAAAGAGCAAGATTTGGTATCAACAATCATTTTATATAATGAAGTATGGGATCAGTGTCCTGCCTGAGGTAGTGTATGTCAGAGCTTCTGGGAAATATAATAAAACACTGTATCTGCCTTATCTTCAAAGGCTTTAGCTTATCAGTAATGTTCCATTTTGGGTTGTCATACATCTTACATTTAGCATACAGTATTCCAAATCACGTTATGTGTGAAAGGTTTAAATGCAAGATAGGCCCAAAGGCTAAGTGCAGAAACCTGTTTTGGCAAAAAAATAAGTCGCAAGAGAATAGACAACTCAAATATGTTGTCCTTCGATGGGTCCTTGCTCAGGTCTCAAACAACTTGCTAACAAAAGGAGATCATTGATATGTATGTAAACAGGTTGTTGATCCAAGGAGAAATCTGATTGCCATTGTGGAGTTAAGAAGGATATTTTACCCTTTTTGTGGCATAATTGGAAGTGGTACAATTGGTTGGGTTTTTTTTGCCTTCTTTTGGATCAACGACATAAAAGATTGGGCTTCACGGTTGAACTTGATGGACTTTTTATTTTATTTATTTTTTTTTAACCTAGACAACTATGTAACTATGCAGTGCCATTAAAGAGAGAATCTTTCAATATTCCGATTGTATGTCAGACTGATCCCACAAGAATTGCAGCCCACAGGTGAAATATTGCTACATTTGCAAATACAAATAGGATTAATAAAAGAATTCAAAGTGAATTTCAAATTTAAGTTCAAAATATACAACCTGGAAATGTTAAGCTTTCAGTACAGCTACTGAATTCACCTGAAATTTGCACTTTGGTAAATAATCCTGAAACTAAATCAAAGTGCAGGGGAACACTGAGAACAGACAACATCTGATGCGGTTTCAATGTAGTTATGGTTCACTTAAGAGAAAACCTTTCAGTGTGCATATCAGGCGATGATGCCACCCAAATGCAAACATTTCAAATGGACAAAGAGGGACATTTTAATTTTAGAGATGTAATTGGGGGTGTGGCCAAGTCCTAAGAAATTTAGGTGACTTACTAATCACTATTTCTGGGCCTGAAATGTAATTTAGGGCGAAAACAATGCATTTTATTTACACATACTGATTTCATAACACATTTATTGTAGTTTAAAGACATTACTGTGAGTAATTTGTAGAGTTCTGGCATACACTCTCACACACACCAGCAACATGGATAATAAGGACTGTCCCTCATAAATAGAGACACTTGGGAGGTATGCAAATTGGCATCCAAAGGAGACACACTGGCATGTTTCCTCTGCATGAGAAGTACAGCAACTGCAAAGGTTCTTTTTGGCTTTCATTGGACCAACACCAGTGAGGTATTACTGATACCCCTCTAGAAATTACCTGTTGCTTATTTTGCATTCCTTATACTTTGCTTTCTATTTTAACTTGGTGTTGTCAGATTTGGACATACAGGTAAGTTTGGCACCCTTTTCCTCATCTCTGTCGCCTTTTCACTTGTTAATTTACCGGTCCCTACCTGTAGAAAAGTTAATGCTCCCCTAATGCAGGGGTAGGCAACTTTCAGCACTCCAGATGTTTGGACACCTCCCATGATGCTTTGCCAGCATTACAAGTGTGAGAGCATTATAGGAAATTTAGTGCCCGACATCTGGAGTGCTGATCGTTGCCTACCCCTGCCCTAATGTATATTTTCCTTTTGTCACACAGTCTGTAAAGTTTTATTGTGCTCTCCCCATGAAGATCTGTGCTCTCCTTACCTACACCCTTTGAAAGCTCTACTTTGTCACAATCTTTCTATATCATATCTTCCTCTCTGTCTGAATTCACTGTGCCCTCTTATAATTTCACCTCCCTGTGTATTCATTCCATTTTCTCCTACGTCTATAATGAATTCCTTTTAACTCATCCCCTTTAGGTACCAGGGGAGTATCAGATTAGTCAATCCATTCTTTTTCATATTGAAGTTATGTATATTTAACTACCAGACTGCTAGGGATTACCAAAAACTAAAACTTTGAAAAATGTGTTTATGAACACGTGTCACTACATAGATGGTTTGTGATGGGATTTTAACTTGTTGATATGCTAACCCCAGCAGCACTGTATCTTTTAGAGTAACACTTTAAAAATGGGTCCTGTACCCATGCAATGCTCTGCGTATCAATAATGTAATGTTCACATCTATTGCGATGAAAGGCCTGCACAAGGACACAGCAGGACAAATTCTCATTCTAAGTACTACGTTTGGAGCATTCAGCAGAAACACTCAGTTTGTTTTCAGAAAAAGTTAGACTTCTCTTTCCCTTACATACTTTAATACACATCTGCAGAAATAATTCTCTACTCTCATACCCTGTCACCACACTAGTCTGAATATAGTATCATTAAAAAGACATAGAAAGCACCATAACCACTTATGCTTCTTGTGTGAGAGTGCAAGCTATACAAGTCCTATGTGACTTATATTTAGGGTGACCAGATACACCATGTTTACAGGGACATAGATAATTTTGTCATATTCATGAAAATGCATGTAAAGGGTTGCCCTGCAGTATAAGCTGAATGATTCTTAATTGCATAATTGCTGAATTGCAGGATTCTATTTTGCCTGCTTGCTTAATTTTATACACCTTCTTCTGCATTCTACATATATAAGGGATTCCCTTTTCATGTGCTGCCTATAAATATGTATCTGATATATGTCCCAGAAAACATGGTGGATCTGGTCACCCTGCTTATATTGCCTCTCTGATAGTTTTCTGTGAGAGAGCCTTACCACAGCATTGCATAGATTCTGTTACC